AAAATTGTGTTGGTGAGAAAAAGGCCAAAGTTGCATGAGGTATTTTTTTGCCCATTACAACAATACACTTGCTCATTCTTGGAGCATAGCAAGAGTTGTTCTATGAGAATTTGATGGGAAAACTTAATCCTGTCTACACTCCAGCCCTGATCTTACCCCTTCAGACTTCTTTTTTGCTCCCAAAATGTAAAGAACATTGAAAAAGGATATTTGAGTCCTTAGAGTATGCCAAAACTACTGTTTTAATGTCACATAAATTGAAGAGTGCATAATTATTTTGGGGAAAGATTAGAACGATGGAGATACTACCTTTCAAATTGTATTGACCAACATGGAGGATACCTAGAGAAACAACAGCTTCATGTTTTGGTGGTTTTGCTTATCAAAGGGTTCTATGATTGGTAGTAAAATTTTTTGACTTACCTTTGTATTATCAGTATTTTTAGAAACCCGATCTTTATTTTTCTCTGAGGGTTGGCATGGGAATGATTAAATCTGAAAATTACACATGGCACATCGTATGACGTACATATTATTAGTGACAAAATGTATCCCAAAAATGACTGTTGTAGGGCAGTTGGTTGAAACTCGTATATAGTGTAAATCAGGAACTACCTGCATATTGTGATTTCCATTTCCACATGTGTCCCTCTCATCCCCAGCTAGATATGCCCTTTTTATAGATTAGGACCATATCTTATCTATCTTGGTATCGTATCTAGAGCTTAGCACACATCATATTTAGTAGCTAGAATACAATCGGTGCCTCGACTTCCATCTTCTTTTGATGCTTCCTGCATTGTTCAATTTTTTTTCCCCATAGAATTTTTCAATATTGCTAGTTCAAGCAATTCTTTCAGGCTGAAAAAATGCTTAGGAAGCTCTTCCCTTTAGCTTTTTCAACAACAGGTCTTTGCACATTGCATTATATAGAATATTATACTTTGTCTTCTTGAGCTGTCCTTTGAAATTTTCTGTTCAGCTTTGTTACTTCATCATTTCTCCCATTCATCACAAAAAATTTTCAGGTCTCTTCTTACATTTACTTTGGTATTTTCTTTCTTGTCTTTTTAATGATCTTGTTTTATTCAAGTATTATTTTCTTTAAGTCAATCTACAATGCCTCTGTTCTTTGGTCATTAGTGCACAATGCCCCAAATCTGATCTTAAAATGGCCTCTAAATTCAGGTGGGAGTCCTGGTGTGACACTGTGGGTTAATGTGCTGGGCTTCAAAGTTGGTTTGAACTGTAGTTGGTGGTTCAAGCTCACCAGCTGCTCCTTGGAAACCCTGTACAGGGTTGCTATGGGTCAGAACCAACTTGATGGCACTTAATAAACATATTGTCAGGAGGGACAAGTTGCTGGAGAAGGATATTATGTTTGGTACAGTGGAGGGTCAGATAAAAAGAGGAAGACCCCTAACGAGATGGATTGGCCAAGTGGCAGCATTGATGGACTCAAGCGTGGCAACAGTAGTGAGGTTGGCCCAGGATCGGGCAGTGTTTCATTCTGCTGTGCATAAGGTCGCTATAAATCGGTACCGATTCAATGGCACCCAACAACAACAACAACAATGAATACTCAAGGTCCTATGTGGACTCTCATAGACTCATGTTTGTTTTCTTCAGCTTCAGCCTGAATTTGCATATGAGCAATTGATGATATGTTCTACAGTTTGCTTCTGGCTTATTTTGACGGATAAGATTGAGCTTCTCCATTGTCTCTTCACACAGATGTAATCAATTTGATTCCTGTATATTCCATATAGTGAGGTCCCTGTGACTAGTCACTTTTTATGTTGTTTTAAAAAGGGTTTTGAAATGATGAAGAACTCATTAATCTTGCAAAATTCTGTCATGTGATCTCCAATATCATTTCTATCACAAAGGTGATATCTTCCAACTACTGATCCTTCCTCTTTATGTCCAACCTTCACATTCAAATTACCAGTAATTATCAACACACCTTGATTGCATGTTTGATCAATTTTAGACTGCAGAAGTTGGTATAATTCTTCAATTTCTTTATTGTTGGTTTTGGTGGTTGGTGCATAAATTTGAATACTAGTTGCATTCAGTGTTCTTTCTTAGAAGCATACAGATAGTATCTTATCACAGGCAGCACTGTACTTCAAAATAGATATTGAAGTGTTCTTTTTAATGATGAATGTGACACCATTCCTCTTCAATTTGTCATTCCCAGCATAGTAAACCATCGAATGTCTATTACAGAATGGTCTATAACTGTCCATTTCAGCTCACTAATGCCTAGAATATTGATCTTTATGTGTTCCATTTTATTTTGGCTTTCAATTTTCCTAGATTCATACTTTGTCCATTCCACATTCTGATTATTAATAGGTGTTTTCAGCTGTTCATTCTAAGTTTGAGTCATGCCCCTCCAACAAATAAAGGTTCCGAAAAGGTCCTGAGAAGCTCATCTTCTGGAACTATACCAGACAATATTTCATTGCTATTTGTAAGACTTTGAAGTAGACTGAATATTCCTTCCTCCTACTTTGGTCTTGGAGTCCTGGTGTGGCACTGTGGGTTAATGTACTAGACTGCAAAGCCGTTTGAACTACAAGCTCGGTGGTTCAAGCTTACCAGTCGCTCCTTGGAAACCCGATGCAGGGTCTCTATGGGTCGGAACCGACTCGATGGCACTTCACAACAACAAGAACACTTTGGTCTTAGTCTGGAAGTGCTGCTTGAACCTGCTCACCATGGATGACCCTGCTAGTCTATGCAACACCAGTGGTCTAGCTGTCAGCACCACAGCAATGTGCAAGTCACTACAGTAGGTCAAGCTGACGAGCATGTGGGGAGTGGTGATGATGATGGCCAGTATTACTGAGTGCTTACTCCAGGCCAAGACAACAACTGCTTGCATTAAGACTTAAACAATGAGTGATCATTTCAGAGTAATCATTCCATCTAATGAAAGATATGCACAAAATAAAGATAACTGAGTATACAGAGTCACACTTAGATCTACTAGTTAAAAATGTGACAACAGTCTAAGACTTCATTAAAGGAAAGTTTAGATTATGTATTAATACAAAGGAGTCACAGCCAAATGCAAAACTGCTAGTTACATACATATCTGGAGTGGGCAGTAAGTAACTCATTATTTCCTGACATTATTCTATAGTGAGGGCAGCTAAGATTACTCTAAGAAATGCCTTTCCTTGTTAATTGTACATGAGTGAAAATTAGCTTAGAATAGAGATTCCTAGTGTTCCAGAGAGTTACTTCAAAATCTGAATAAACACACATTAAAAAAAAAAAAAAAAAAGGAAATTTATGACAAAAATTAGGGTACAATAAGAGCTGGTTGGTTTATGCTTCTTTTGAAGACTTACAATGTACATTGATTAGTATATTGGGGGCATAATAAGACTGAAGGGGGAAAAAAAACAAACCCTCTTTGTATGGCATAACTCCAGAATTCCCCAGCTACATTTGACTAGTACCCTTTTTTTCCAAAACACAAGAATGCTTGTATATATTTCCATGAAATTAGTAGTGGAAAATACTAGCTTGGGAGATTCCAAGAAACACTGCCTCTGTGCTGGGATTCTAGCAATAGGCATATGCAAAGTGGAATCCTATAAAGATCTATCTGATTTAGAGAAAGGAAGATTGAGTGTGGTCTGAGCCAGAAGAGACTCCTGCCTAATATTCATATTTACATGATACAATTCAACCCTCTATGAAGGTTGGGGAGAAAGCCTATTTTTAATCAGACATTTGAATTAGCAGTTTCGTTATTATGACCATATCTCACAATCATCGGAATTTATGTTTTCATTTTATCCCAAAGAAAAACTTGACCATCTTTCTTTAATGCTATCAACCTGGAAGCTTGACAGTAAGGATTAAAAATTGCTCCTTCCTTCCCACTTGGTTATTGGAAAGGCTCTGAAAGGGAATCAGTCTTCTGAAGCTACACTTTACAGTCTGCATAAAAATGCCATGATTTCCCTTCCTCTCCCCAACCTAATTGAAAGTGCATAATATCACCCAGCTGGGGAAACGTAAATGGTAAACATATGCAATATATCATGCTATCACACAAAAGCTGGTTACTAATAGGAACTGGGTGGTTGTCAGGACCAAAAGAATTCTCGAAAACAAGTCTTTTCTTTTTTTTTTTTTTCATATACAAAGAGAGCTCTTTACAACTGCCACACTCTCTCCTCCCCCACTCCCCTCCAGACCTTAAGTCACACTCAGGTTGGCCCAAGGTCAGCCAACCCATTCCTTGTGTGTATATCGTTCCAAGGCTCAGCTAACAATGTGTATTGACTAAAAGAGTCTTAAATCAGACTTTCAAGAGATGAGGCATTTTATTTTTGGCAGGAGGTGGGGTTGGAATCATCGTGTTCCCTACCTACTTCAATTGTACTGACAGATGGTCCTATTATATCTTTCCTTAGTTGCTAAACCTAAGGATCACTGGCCTTGTCACCTCTTATCTCTCTCTACTTCATCAAATTCCTATTGTGGATACGTTCTCCATTTCCACCTCTGCTCATCCATGACCATATATTCCTTGAGTATAAAGTCCCCAGTTCCCTTACTTTTCAGAGTAATTCCACCTCAATTACATCTACTTGGAAATTATCATTTTCTCTTGTCTGACTCCTCACTTCCAAGGGTCATGCTATCTTCTTGGATAAAGTCTTTCACAGCGCGGCTCTTAGGAGACAGGACAATATTACATCAAAGTTCTCATCATTAGTTCTCTGTCACAATATTCTTTCAGAAATCTCTCCCTGTTGTACCACAAATACAACTACTTTTATTAATTCATGCCACCTTATAACTAGCTATTGCTACCTTACTGAAGAGGTCAAATTACAGTACATGTCTAACACAATGTGTTGTTTCAGTTTTAAGAGATTGGAGAGTACATTTTTATCTGCCTCTGTTGTAGAGATGACTTGGAACTTACTGAACAGAAACTACGTTCATCTTTTACTAAGTTTCATTACCTGTCAACTGGAGCCGGTGGATGATAGGGCTTGTTGACCTTGGCATAGAGACCCTCTAAGTGGTCCATCTCCGGAGACAATGGACGGCTGTCCCGTGGGTAACCAAGTGGTACAGGACGAGGTGGCGATGGAGACCTATAGACACTTGCTGATGTACATGGCTCCCGGAAATGGTTCACTCTGGCATAATTGGGGTCCATTTCATCATCATCCATATCATGTGCTGATCCAATTGTAGTGGTAGTATAATCCATGAGACCTTTTGCCTGCTTTTCTCTTAGCTCCTGATGTTTTGCTCCAATCCTGAAAATGTAAAATAAGAAGCAGAGATGCATGTGAATGTTATATGCTAATACACTGAAATAGTCTCCTGAATTGATGTTAATTGCTCCTAGTCAGTCTCTAAACTGTCACTTTTCTGTTTACTCAAGATCACATCATGTAGCAACACCAACAGTACAGTGCATGGATTAATTTTAGATCACTGACCTTTGGTGCAGGACCTTTATGTTCATAGAAAAGCTATAGGTATTTTCATATCTTGCCTGCTGATGACTGGACTGATTGCAGAGTTCAAGGCTGATTTTTATTAACATCCTCTCTATACAAATAGGATGTGTTTGCATGAACAGTACATCTTTGCTGTGATTTTTTAAGAAAGTCTCCTGTGAGGCAGGAGTCCACCACAATTTTATACTATTTTATGATTTCACTATTTGGTGTCCTTGAAGATGCTGTGTAATCTTCTAAAGAAAGAGCTTGCAAAAATTGATTTGAATATGAAAAAGAAATACAGAGGCTTTCTGGTTACTAAAAGCAGTGGGACCCATGGTAATTTAGAAGACTTTCAGTTTTTTGGTTACACAAATGGGGATCATTGTGTCTCATTACAGAGGGGCTATGGACAGAGTAAAATAGTGAAGAAATTAATAGGCTCCTGACAGAGATGAATTGGCACATATAAGTGAATTAAACACCATTACTGGCAGAACTCCACAGCACTAGAGCCTTAAGTGATATTGCAAAATGCTACTGCTAATCAGTGCCAATGTATAAACTACCGGGAATGGGAACAGAAAAATATGCTTAGGTGGATTCCAAATCCATCTGAATTTTGAGAATTTGACATTTAATCTGGGAAGTGTTAAATCAGCTCTTCTAAATTCTCAGTTAAGTGTCAAAATATAAAGGTCACTGTGGCATATTATAGGACAATGGTGACCCTGATGGTGTTAGGAGGTGTTCAGCACTAATGAGGAAAGAGGGTAGCCTTACATCGCCAGGCAAACAAGGGGCATCGTGTATGGGATGAGAGGAGCAAGACAGTGCTGGCTCAGGTGCCTAAAGGACGAGATGAACCAGAAGTCTCTGGCTCAGGGAACAGGAGAGGATCTAGGGTTAGAAGCAAAAGATTTGGCCCAGAGACAACCACAGAGAACTGGATGTGAATTAAAAACAAAACCTAACATCCTTTAGTATCTTTTTCTCTTCAGACAGAAAGAACTGTTTTTGTATATGGCAGCTAAGGTTTATTTTACAAAACACCGAGCCTTTTGTAAAAATCCTTAGAAGCCAAAATCTGTCAATGTATTTTCTTGGGTAGAACAACATTTTTCTTTCTTTTCTTTTTTTGGATTAGAGAGGAGGAGAAAAGAAATCAGAAGGGGAGAAAGAAACAATAATAACAAAACAGTGAAGATACAAAACACACACAGACACACACAAGCCAACAGCCATCTATCCTCAAGGCACTACAGATGAAAATAAATGTCAGGATACATTATTGCATTTCTCTTTTGACTAGGCCAAACCACACACCCTACACATAAGTAATTAGAAGAATTTATATTTTTGCAAAAGGCAGCTTGAATCTCCAAGGGATTTTGAATTAAGATGAAAGGAAGATTACACAGTAGGGAACCCATTAAGGGGCCTTGCCTGTCCCCTTTCAATGCATGTTAGACCTAGATTCATGGATGTTTGTTTTGAATAATTTTTGATAAAGATGATAACCTGTTTCATTCTGCAACAAAACTATCTTTCCAGGGATGGTGCTCACTCTATTATCAGAGAATGCTTGCTGCATGAAGATGATAGGGATGGATTTCCATTGCAAATAGAGCAGAGGACATCAATAAAGCCAGGGGGTGGGATTCTGTGTTGTTGCTCTTCCTCATAAAGTGGGGTGCCTTCGAGAGAAATCATTCAGTAGAAAGATGTATATCTCACGGCTGCCTCATGGGGCTAACACTTGTGCATTCCTGGCGGAGGCAAACACCAAGCTTGACTTTTTAAAAAACTCACAGGAATACAACATCGGTAACTGGCCCAGAAGATCTTGATTTCATAACTACTCGTTCTTAGAGAATTGCTCATTAATTAAGCTTGCTGAGTACGTAGAGGTGCTCAGATGAAAAGTACTCTGTATGTGAAGCACTATTTTACCTTGCATTTTTCCTTTCTAAAACAAAACTAAATCCTTCCTTGATCCTCCCTCTCTGCACCACTAGGTGCTACAGTAACTAATTTCATATTAATCACTCAGTAGGTGAAATAGTAATTTCTCTTAACCATCATTATTACACCATATATCAGGGTCTCTCCATGTGGCGGAGGACAAGGCAATCTCTGCAAAGGGGTGTATGGAGGCAGAAGAAACTCTCTTAAGAAAGAAATGTCAAAGAAATAGATTTCTTTGTTACTACTCTGATTTTCCCTCCCCACAATTCAGTGTGAGAATTCTAATTGTTTATAGTCATTTCCACTTGGAAGTTCCATTACTAATTGGAAATCAACCTGAAAAATGTATATATTGTAAGAAATAAGAAAGAAAGAGAGGAGGAGAGAGTCTTGGCTTCAACAGCAGGCAGTTTTATTGAGAGTAAACCGGAGAGGGGGTACTCTAAGTCACCAAAAGAGACCAAGAGCCCCTCTGTTCTCTTATAGACTGGGAGTATTTAAGGCCATGTGGTTCCAGGTACAGTTCTGGGAGCCTCCAATGGGTGGCGCTATGGAGATTTTACTGAAACCTGAATCTACAGGTGTGGGGGGAGGGTCTCTTGGTGCAATAAAGACTTAAGCTTTCTGGAGACCTGAAGCCCAGGCAGGACTTTATTCGGTGCCGCTTGGTGTAGCTGCAATGCCATTTTGTTGATCAGGAACAGGGTCCTTCATATATAAATAAACATATATAACTAAATACGGAGTTTTGGTAGCGTGGTGGTTACGAATCGGGCTGCCAACCTCAAGGTCAGCAGTTCGAAACTACCAGCGGTTCCGCGGGAGAAAGATGAGGCGTTCTGCTCCCGTAAAGATTTACAGCCTTGGAAATTTACAGCCTGTACAGGATCGCTATGAGTCGGCGCCGACTCCACGGTACTTAACAACAACATATAACTAAATAAGCCTGTTGTCATGAGTCTATCCCAACTTACGACAACCCCGTATATTAAAGGATAGAACATTAGAGTTTTCTGGGATTTCATATTCACAGAAGAGTCCTGGTGTGGTGCTGCAAGATAATACGCTTGAACGCAACTCACCAGCAACTCTTTGAAACCCTATACAGGGTCACTATGTGTCAGAACCAGCTCCATGGCATTCAACTACAACTACAATATTTACAGCAGCAGGTCTCCAGGCATTTCCCCTGTGCTGCAGCTAGATAGGTTCAAACCAGCAACCTTTAGCTTAGCAGATGATTGCCCACTGCTTTGCAGCACTGCCCTTGAGAAATCATGGCTCTTTTTCTAGTTCTTACCAGCACACTGGTTTTGAACGGTTTCTCCTCTCTTGTTTCACCCTTGCCTACAGAAACCTTGTTGTTTCTTTCTTTCTCCATCTAGCACTTGGGTATTCTCCTTCATTTCCATTTTTCAGCTATGGGCTAGTGTTCAGGACTTTCTATTGCCTAGATTTGCACTGCCCAATATGGTAGCATTAGTCATAGGTAATCATTGAAATTTAAATGAATTAAAATTAAATTAGAAGTGCAGGTCTTCAGTTACACAAGCCACATTTCAAGTGCTCAATATCCATATATACAGCGGTGGTAAGTTCTTACCTACAGTAACGCTGTATAGTGTTTCTGGGAGTCCTGGTGTGGCACTGTGGGTAAATGGGCTGGACTGCAAGGCTCATTTGAATCTCAACGTCAGCGGTTCAAGCTCACCAGCTGCTCCTTGGAAACCCTATACAGCATTGCTATGGGTTGGAGCCGACTCACAGGCACTTAACAACAACAATAACAACAACATAGGGTTTCTGAGGAGTGGCTAATGGGTTTGAACTGGCAACCTTCTGGTTAGCAGTCCAGTGTTTATCCAATAGCACTACACCAGGGCACCTTAGTGGCTACCAAACTGGTCAGAGCTGATGTACACTAATTTTTTCACTGCAGAAAGTTATCAAACCAATGAAAGGGAAAAAACAACCTGGCGCTGCTCATCAACCATACCGCACACCAGATGACCCGTCTAGAGACTTTTCTCTGACCATTTTCCCTGGCGCTCACAAAAGTTAAATAGGTCTTGTATTAGACCTGATTTGAACGAGCCGTTAGGCGGCCAGGTTAACTCCTGCTGGTGATGGGTGCTAAGAAGGTGTCAGGGAAGATGATCGCGGGCACTGGGAGGGCATGTTGAAATGAGTGGGTTAGGGCGCCGGGAAAATTGCGGTCCTGAGCCTTCCGATGTTAAATCAGGGGCCTCAACCATCCCACTTCTGACACCAATGAAAGGGAAAAAACAACCCGGTGCCGCTCATCAACCACACCGCACACCAGAATATTCTAAGATCTTAGGGTATATCACCTCATTCCATTTTAACCTATATTTTAAAGGTTGCTAGATAATCTTCCTCCAATAGCATCTCAAGAGTCCTGGTGTGGCGCTGTGGGTTAATGCACCATACTGCAAAGCCGTTTGAACTGCAAGGTGGGCGGTTCACACTCACCAGCTGCTCCTTGGTAACCCTATACAGGGTTGTTATGGGTCGGAATCAACTCGGTGGCACTTAATAACAACAACAATAGCATCTCCATCATATCTTGGCCAAATCAAGTCTCTAACATGAGATTATAATAAATGAATTGAGTTGCTTTTCTCCATCCCTGAGACCCTAAAGCAACAATGAAAAAATCAGGATGAAAGTTCCATCTATGATGGAATTAGAAACTGGTCATATCTGGTCCTGCAAAAAATGTTTGGTACCAACCACTCTTCCCACAGCACTCATTATCCAACTGGGTTCAATAATTCACTACAATGGCCACAGAAAACTCAGACAGCAAACTCAGTTATGGG